ATATATATATATATATATGTATAATTATTATCTTTTAACAGCTGAATCCCACTGTGAAAAGAGATGTGCATATCTGCAGTACGGATGAGGGAAAGGATGTACGGATACCGTAGCGGCAAAAGCTCCCAGGGCCCGTCACATGATGCCGATCGGTCTAAAGAGGTTTCCCCCCCATAGACTTAGATTGAAAAGACACGTCTGTAGATCAGCAGATGATTTTTTTAACTCTCTTTTGCTTCATGCGCCACTGAACCAATGCAGAGTTGTAGGCTGTACTGGAGGCATTTCTGACACTGGTTTTAGAACAACTCTGTGCAGACTGACAGCTACTACGAACTTAGAACCACGACAGTGTGAGAGTGAGAAAACCTCAAGAGTTGGGTGTGATGTCATGAGCTCATTGCCCACACACAAAACATTAATTTACAACGCCCGCCGAAAGCTCAAACACAAGCTTAAACTCATGCACGAATCAGTGCTAACAAAAATTTATGGCAGGGTGCAGTCCGGTGATTCTGCTTTATCTAAATAAGCAGTCGGAGGGTGTTTACCTAAGAGGGCTGTAATCACGGATGAGAGACAAGAGGAGTGAGGCAGAGGCTTTACCGCACCACTGTTGTCAGAGCGTAAACTACAAGCTGTTGTTCATCTATCGTCAAAGTTTAAAGTCTTTTATTGTGCCGTTTAATTGTTTGCTGGGACGGAGACGTTGGTGGAGAAGAGGATGCATGTGTCTGTGTTTGCAAACCGGCGTAAAGAGACACAGTCACATCAGTCGACCTCATGCCTTCGGCTTGCCCACGGGAACCACATGGGGACTTACACAAGTACACACCGAGCCACATGCTACCCACACACACACACACTCCTTCACCCTTCAGTCCGCGGAGTCCATCTAATGACGCCCCCTCGCCCTCATAAACCCCACGGGACACACGCGCTCACACCCGCACGCCTCTAATCGCAGCCCTGCGCAGACATAAGCCCCGGAGAGGCGGGGTTTGTCATTTAACTCACCGGCAGAAACACGTCACAATGTAACGCAGACAAAAAAATATGCGTCTACGCAAGAAATGCAGACATAACACTGCCTGCATTCTTTAAGGACTAGTAGCCTGGAGGCCACGACTGTTGTCATGAACATCTGCTGATCTTTATCTTATGACATAATCCAATGATGGTCTTCTGCCAGAGGACCCTCCTCGCCTTCTTAAGAGCCCTAACCTCGCCTCGTCCTGCAGCCGCGATATAACAAACACACCACAGGGCCGCCTGCTGCAGCCACAGACAACACAAAGGCAGACATGCAGCCATGTGATCGTGACGTAAATAGCACATCGTATATCGACGTCCAATTGATGGACCGTGCGTGTCCGTTGAACGTCTGCGTGCATCCAGCCCTCGGCTATGTGTGAGTGCAGCAAATGTCATACAGAGAGCTCTGCTCGCTCTGTACCACCTGACCTTTGACCTTATCTGACAAACAGAAGAAAGGACTGACGAGGAGCATCAGCAGTGGGACACAGTGAAAATAAGCCAGTATCAAGTAGTATCAAAACTTCTGCAGTTAGACGATACCTGCAATCGACTATTTATATGGTTTTGCTCGCAACTAATCACTGCAAGCGATAAATTCCAATGTGTGATTGGCCCACTACCACAGCAGCTGTAATCCAAACAGCCAGGATCACCTGCATGCACACGGCAGCGAACTGTCCCAGCAGCGAACTGACATCTCTTCAATGGATACGTGCTCCTTCTGGAAGCATTGTGACAAACTGGTAACTAATAGAAATCTGTTTTGTTGACCATTATAACACCTAAATTAGTGATGCTCGAATGGCAAAGATCAATTACTTGAATAGCATGTTTTTTCCCCCACATGAATCGACCCCTACTTCTCTCTAACCTGAACAGACGGACTCCTGAGAATATTTGCCCTCAGATTAAGGTCTGCAGCTTTGGATTGGAGCCCGTGTTTGGCTTCGGGTGTGAGGGCCTGCCACCTGTTTTTTGATTACAGTTTTCTACTAGACACTCTAGACAATCTTGTTGTTGTCGGGCAGATAAGTTTCTAAGCATACAGTAAACTACACACGTCTTATTGTGAGGAGACTCCTCCTGTCAAAGTGTCCTTGAGCGAGACAGGACACCAGTTTGCTCGTGTTTAGAATGAGTTCAGAGGTCAGATTCCATGTGTATGTATGTGACGGTAAAAATAAAGTTGAAGTATTTGTCTACCAACGCTCCTCCATTTCTCTCCATTAGTGCAAAGCCAGTTAAGAAGACAAGCTCAAGTGGAGAGGGAGCAGAGAGGGAAGGTAAGGGGGGGGGGGGGATGTGAGGCAAAGAAAAAAAAAGGACAGGATTTCATTTCACGACCACACCTACCTCCGACCGACACTACCTTTCCGCTTCCCACCCTTTCCTGAGCTACACCACACACACACACACACACACACACACACACACACTGTGCCCCCTGGTTCACTCACTCCCCAATATTGCACCAGATGTCACATCAAGCATCTTTGGCCAAAGCGCTGCAGCGCAGCCAGATGAAGAATTTGAGAAATTCTGGAAAATATTTGGAGAGGATTGAAGTGGCTGAGGCCCGGAGAGGTAGAGGTCAAACCTCTCCAGCTTTAATGAGGGGGGGGGGTGACTGACGGCCTGTGATGCTATAGCAGCTAATGGATCTGATGGCACAGGATCTGCTCTGCAATCGCTTTAAAACTTAGATCTGGCGTTAGGCGAGGTCACGCTCAGAGCTATATGATTTCCTGACCGTGTTCTTCCTCAATATACTGTACATCCTCTTTCAACTGGAAGATAGTTGAACAAGATTGCGTTACACATAGCGAGTGTACGGTATTTTAATGGTCGCGTGTGTGCTAAATAGATAAACAGCCAAAGTGAAAGCAGCCGAGGATTCCTGGGCCTCGGCTGCCAAAAATCGAACGCTGTTGAACTCAGCAGTTTGAGTGGAACGTTTTTTTTTTTTTTAAATCCAGGATCCTGCTGTGTTTATGCATCGTGATTAGCAAAGCAACATAAGGAGGGAAAACACCACTATCTTTGATTAAAGATGGCCATCAGATGTCCTTTATGCAGACAGTCATTAGCCCCCTGTGTGTGTGTGTGTGTGTGTGTGTGTGTGAGGCAGACTGACCACCTGTAGAAAGGTGTCAGTCTACCAGCTGGCAGATAGAAACTAATTAACGGTAACGAGATATTTATGCATTAACTAGCTGTATGGGTGCACACACACACACAACAGAGGATTATTCTGAGTCCTCTACACACCCGCATTCCTCGCTCCTCATCCAGGACCCCCTGATAATAAACCCCCCACCACCTTTCTCCTCCTCTCTTTTATCCCCCTCTGTCCCTCCACTCAAATGTCTAACCCCCCCCCCCCCAAGCAGAACCACTAAAGTGGGCCAACCAATCACCACCGAGCTGCCAGACTGCAGTTTAGCATGACAAAGGACCATTTGCGTCTGTGTGTTTACATGCATGTGGGTGTGTGTGTGTGTGTTCCCATCAGAGCAGCTTTTTTATTTTTTTATTTTAACCAGAGAAGGAAGTCGGTTTATGCAGGAAATTCACTCCACATGCGCCACAGCTCATCTGCACTTATATGGGTGCAGATGAAACAGCGCATCTCTGTCTGAGGTTCTGTTAATGAGCAAACTGACGTAAAACTACTGGAAAACTTTGCAAGCAGATCTGCTTCTACTACTACAGCACTTTTTTGGGGTGGGGTGGGATGGGGGGGGGGGGGGGGGGTTGCAACATCCTGGGTGATAAAATTCTGCTCCTGTGTGGCAGATTTTCACCACTACCGTTTGCTGCCTCAGTTTCTCCGTGTTAAAAAGCTGTTTGTGTGGCTCCCACCTGCTCCTCTAAATACCCGGTCAGCCTCTCCATCTCTGTACAGACTGGAGAGGCATCACCCCCCCTCCTTTTGCCACAACACATGCTTAAGCAATTATTCCAACGCAGTCCCCCAGGACTGAGAGGGGCTGGATAGTGAAGCCAGAGGGAGAGAGAGAGAGAGAGAATTTGAAGTGGAGTGATCAGGAGGGGCAGCTGGCCAGAGATTTTTTTTTTTTGCAGCGTTCTGGGAGAGAATGTGTAGAAGTTGAGCGCAACTCCCATAATCCCCTTTTTCTAAAAAAAAAAAAAAAAAGAAGAGAGAAAGGGGAGACGGAGGGAGTGGAAACAAAAGGGGAAGAGAAAGGAGGGGGGCCGCTGGAGCTAAAGAGGACTGGGCTACAGTGACAACAGCTTCAAAAAACAAAACCAGATACACATGAACTGTGCACACATGTGGACGCCAGCGGAATAACAAGTTAGGAACACAAAGAGCCGCCTCATCAGCTCTGGATCAATACCTTAATTACACATTGATTTCTACTGTCAGTGTGTATTGGACAGCTCTAGCTGGAGTGGCACCTCTGGGGGGTTATGAGGGCACATGGGGGGCTATTTAAAACTAAATCAAGATAAAAAGGGGGCAGGTTGACACTTGAAAACATCCAGGCATGTTGGCAACTCTGTGCACTTTGAAATCACCAATACATTATGTGATGACAACACTTGCATCCACACTGTCATGAACTGCGTGTTTGATTGACTGACACGAGTTGTTTCATTATGAGTTATTTGAACTACTAACTATGTATTTTGTTGACAATGCGGCAGAGTGTTTGGAGTGTTTTGTGTTCGGGGCGGTGTGTGTTGGAGCCGGATAAGAAATGAAGTTGTCTTGTGTTGACAGATAACAGGCAATACTTTTAAAACGATAAAGCGTTTACTGCCAACCATTAGAAAGCGCGGGTCTATTTAATCTGTTTATTATACCGCTTTTATTTGAACTTTAAAGACTATTGAAGCGTAAATCAGCTGGTGTGAGGCACCCCCCTCTCCAAAGAAGTAAACAGTTGATATTATAACAAACGCGCACACAGCACTACATGAATGTATAAACTTACCAAGCAGAAGACAGAAGATGTCGAGCGCTATCAGCAGCTTCTTCTTGCTGTTGTCGACGCCGTTGTTGTTGTTTAACGTAGAGGTTCCTCCGTTCCTTGTCTCTTGGGCCATCGCTTTCTCATACATGTACTTTTGCATTTGAGAAGTTCCCCCTCCTGGACTCTCGGCTCAATATCCCGCAGCACGCGGCGGAACGAGGAAAGTGTCCTTTAAAGAAGAAAATGTCATGCAAATTCAACGCGGAATTTAAAAACTTCCCAACTCGGACGTCTCGTGCGGTTTCTCGTTTTGAAAAAAAAAGTGAATAAATGTATATATGCGAGAAAAGAAAAGTTTCTCTGCGCTCGAGATGAATGGGGGAAAGCCTGCAGCGCGCTATCGGTCTTGGCTCAAAAGGACTTGGAGTGAGAATTGCGCTGCGCATCGAGAGCCCCTCGTTATATCAATCCTTCTTCTCCTTCTCCTCCTCCTCCTCCTCCTCCTCCGCCTCCTCCTCCTCCTCCTCTCTGCTCTCTTCAAGTTCCCCCGGCGGCTTCGAGGTTCAGCCCTCTTCCCTCTGCTGCTAGCGGTGGGTAATCGCCTCCATCCCGTTCCCCCTGCGTGGAAAACTTTCTCTCAGTGCTGGAGAGCGACGCGCGCGGTGGCTGCAGCGCGCCCCCAGCGGAGCGCTTCAGAGTAGTTATCTCAATATAAGAGACGCAGATATCCGTGTTTTTTTTTTTTTTACAGTAAATGTAACAGCATATTTCATCAGCTCATGCTGACAGATTTCATTTTAAGTATCAGAAGCAGATCTCTGTATTCACATACAAGAATGTTGCTTTGGTGAAGCCTTCAACTACAAAATGTCACTCAAAGAGACACTACCAACCAGTGAGAGACTCAACACGACCACAAAGAGACCAAAGACAACCGCAAAGAAATGCAGAAACAGCTGCAAAGATGCACCCAGAAACCACGAAGGGACTCATGATGACTGTGATAAAGGGTTCAAACAAACTACAAAGAGACAGAAAACAACTCCAAAAAGATGCTAAATAAACTGTGTCTTGCTGCCAGTGCCCATAGAAAGCTAAAAGTTATCCGAATCTATGTTTCCTACAAATAAATGACATTGCAAAGCCAATTTCTTGTGTAGAATAGTTGCTCCAAACCATTAAAAAGCAGCAGAACAGGAAAGGGTTGAGAATAGTATAAAACAACTCAATACGCTCTAATTTCACTTTATACATGTATCATTAGTGCCAACCTAATTATTGAAATTACTGAAGAGTCCTATTCATTTTATTTTGTATTATTTAAAAAAAAAGTAATATATTTTTTTTATATTTTTGTTTGTTTTAGTTTCCTTTATTCTTCTCTTTTTGTGACGTTGTATTGTCATGACATCATAATGTTGTGGTTGTTTTGCATATTATTTTAACTGTATTCAATCTTTTAAAAAGAACATGTCAACGTTTATGATTCATCATTTTTATTTCTATTCATTTTTCTTCAGGAATGTTTAGTGAGGACTTCTGAACAGGAAAAAGGGATGCAGACAAACTATTGATATACTTTAATCTACAGAGTTTGTTGAAAGTGGGAATTCTCATGGTCGGTGAAATGAAGCCTCACCAGAGAAGAAACAGGATTCAATGCTTCATTTCTAACTTTGATAAGAAAACGTTTGTGCACCAGCTCCACAGATTCAAGGCTGCAGTCAGACTGGATAACATGAACCTACACTGCCCTCTAGTGGTTCAACATGAACAACTCTTTTCAATCTCGTTTGCGTCTCATCTCATCCATGAAGTACACTTCCTATTTGTATCAGCCCAGTCTGTTCAAAACTATTTATGGAAGATGATCAACAGTTTGACGCTTTTGAATACATTGTTAGTCACCTGTTTTTTTTATAAACTCAGGAAGGCCCTGAAACAATGGGACGCACCTATTTGTGAGAATAAGAATGAAGCTACTGACCTGACAGACCGGTTTGATAAAGACAGGGGACACCTGACTCTGATATGAGGGCCTCGGCTACGAACAATGATTTCAAAACCCAAAACAAACAAAAACAACAGAAACCCCGTCATGCATCGCTCTTCTGCCAACATTTCATTCCACAATTTCAAATGATAGTTGCTGTCTTTCAGTCTTATAATATATGGCAGAGCCAGTGGTGGAAGAAGTACTTTTACTTTAAAAAAAATATTTTACTCAAGTAAATATATTACAATGTCATACACGTACTAGTAAAAGTCCTGCACGACTACTTAAGTAAAAGCACAGAAGTATTAGCTCAAGATATACTTAAAGTACCGAAAGTAAAAGCTCTCATTATGCAGAATGGCCAATTTCAGAATAATATACATATAATAGATCAATTAGTGATGCATTCATGTGTACGTTACAACTGGTAACGTGGAGCTAATTGTACTGCAGAGTAGCCTATATATATATATATATATATAATCGTAAATTAAAAAATAATATATATATATATATATTTTTTTCTATTAATAATCTAAATGTGCAAAGTAACAAATAACTTAAATTGTCGAAATAATATAGAGAAAATACATATTTAAAATATTGGATTCAAAATGTAGTAGAAGTATAAAGTTGTATAAAATTAAAAATAGTACAAATACAAATACCTCAACATTGTAAGTGAGGTGCAGTAGGCTACTTGAGTGAATGTACGAAATGAACTTCGTGTGCTGCTCACAGCATGTCGGGCTGGTTGTGTGGATGAATGTGACCTGCTGGAGGTCGGCTACAGTATATCAGGGCAGGCAATGGACCGGGGAGCAAAACTCGACGCAACACCGGGTCGGTGGCAGAAGAAAAACCCGGTTATAGGCTACCGCACAGGCTGCTTTACGACAGATGAATAAAAAGAACCACAGGAAATCTGTCACATTCTTCTGCCAGTGTTCACCGTAAAACCCGACAGTGCGTCGAGCTGTGACAGAAGTGTAGTGCCCCGCCCCTCCGTGCGCTCCCGTAGGCAGACACCCACACACGCACACACACACACACACACACTGAGCCCAGCCGTCGGTTAACGGAGGAAGATGGCAGAGCGGCAACAACCGAAACACGAAGGCAGGGTGAAGATCGGCCACTACATCCTCGGCGACACGCTCGGAGTGGGAACCTTCGGGAAAGTGAAGAGTTAAGTGACGATTTATTGTGTCATACCGATGTTAACGTGAAACGTTTGAGTGCGTCAGTTGGAGAGATATGAAGTATGCCCCCCCCCCGCCTTCAACGGACGGTAGTACTTGCATGCTGTCAGTGAGCTGTCACATAATCACCGTTTATAACGGTGCCTCCGTGTTGCGTAAAAGGACGTCTGTGACGCGCACAGCTTTGCCCGAAACCCACCGTGTGATCTTCACGTTAACGGACAGTATGCTCTATAAACACAGCTAGATAGCGCGGTGTGTTAGCGCATTGCATTGCTATCAAAAGGTTATAATTTCAGTTTTCACTCTGCGTGACCTTGTGAGCCTTTAACAGGCTCAACCAGCCCGTATGATGCGTGCGCAGTTTGAGGGACAAATACCTTATGTAGCTCGTGATAATAGTGTTACTGCTGATGCTATGTCTCAGGGTGATCCCTGTGTGCGAGTTCATTTATATCAACGCTTCATAACTGATAACCCTAATCAAAGACAACCATTTTCATTTAATCTTTATATAATTCTCATAGTTTAGATCTTTTATTCTAAGAGAGAAACACTCACGAGAACACAGTCAGCAAAACAGAAACGACTCAATGAACAAGGAGTTCAAAACAGCTTCAAGAATCATGGAAATCATTCCATTTTAAAAAGGTGCATCAGGGCCGTTGTAGGTAAATAAAAGTAAAATAATTCACAGCCGGGGGAGCGTGCTAATAGTCAGAACTTCTGAGATTAAGGTGGTAAATCTACAAGAAAAAATAACTAATTTACAAATAGAATACTTCAATATTCTCTGACATTAAGCATACATTTCAGAGAAATACAACTGAAATTCTCTGAGATTAAAGTGGTACATTTACGAGGAAATAAATCACAAATCAAAAAAACAACTACTGAAATATTCTCTGAGATTATAAAGTCTTACATTGAAGATACATTTCTCTCACAAATGTCTTTATAATCTGAGAGAATATCCAAGTATCTTCCCTGTAAATTTGTGAGTTCATTTCTTGTGAATTTACCACTTCTTTATCTCAGTATTTTTCTCCTGAACATACGACTTTGCTCTGGAGAACTCTGCTTCTACACGTCTGTATTCTTTTGTTTTCTTCAGTCGGTGAGCATCAGCTGACGGGCCATAAAGTGGCGGTGAAGATCCTGAACAGACAGAGGATCCGCAGCCTCGATGTCGTCGGGAAGATCAAACGAGAGATCCAGAACCTCAAACTGTTCAGACACCCGCACATCATCAAGCTGTAAGTGGAGAACGACGACGCATCTCTCCGATCACACTCCTTCCTGTTTGTTCACTACCTTGTTTGTTTACTGCACTGGACTGAGCATGCCCACAGGGCTCCCAGGAGGTCCAACACACACACACACACACACACACACACACAC